TGGCGCTGCGTTGCGCCTCGGCCCACGCGGCGCGGATGCGGGACGACACCTCGGCGCGCCTGCGCCGGCGCAGCGAGGCGGAGGGTGGAGTGGGGCAGGGGGTGGAGTGAGGCAGGGGGTTGGAGTGGGGCGGGGCAGGGCAGGGCAGGGTGAAGAATGGCGCAGAAATGAAAGGTGGGGCAGAGCGGAGCAGGAAAGGGTGAAGCAGCGCAGCGGGGCAGCGGAGGATGGCCGCAACGCGGCCTCCCCGGCCGCACCCCACCCACCCACCTGTCCTTGACGGGCGAGCCGTGCTGCGGGCTGTTGTGCTGCTGCCGCTCCCGCTCCGCCTGCTGCTGCAGCGGCTGCGGCTGCGGCGGCTCGCCGGGTCGCTCGGGAGACACCTCGCCGTCCTCGCGCTGCGCCGCCGCCTGCGCCGCCGCCTGCCCCTGCCCCTGCTGCGCCGCGCGGTGCAGCGAGCTGCCGCTCTCGTTCCGCGACAGCGGGCGCAGCGCGCGCAGGTCGGAGGCGCTGCCGTTCTGGCCAGAGTGCGGCGCGGAGCCGTCGCTGCGCTGCGGGCCCGCGGCGGCGCTGCCGGGGCGCGGCGCCGCGCCCGCCTGCTGGCTGTCTGTGTCGCTCTCCATCTTGCCCACCGTGGGCCCGATCTCACACAGGTTGAAGAGGCGCAGCACACGGATCACGACGTCGGGGTGCGCCTCCCTGCGCCAGCAGGCACGCAGGGGAAGGAACAGAGGCAGGATGAGCACTTAGCAGCACATGGGCGCTTGCTTGGCAGGGAGCACATGGGCGGCTGGCAGACTGGCCGCCGGGCTGCCTGCCCTTGCACACACCGCCAGCTGGGCAGCAGTAGGCAGCAGGCCACAGCAGCCGTGATGACCACCCGAAGCATCCCCTATCCAGCCCACCGTTCACCCCACCTGAGCCGCCCCGAGGCGTTGACCAGCTCGTCCAACCGGCGGTCGATCTCCGACCGCCGCTTTGGCAGGCCGGGCCTGTCCGCGGGCGTGGACACGGCGCCGCTGCGCTTGGGGATGAGCGGCGCTGAGCCCGCGGTGGCGGCGCCCGTGGGGGTGCTGCTGGCCACAGACTGCGTGGCTTTGGAGGCAGAGGCGGAGGTCAGGCGCCGCTGCTGCTGCTGCTGCTGCTGCTGCTGCTGCTGCTGCTGGGAGCCGGTGCTGCCGGCGGGCGTGGTGGCGCCGGCCTCGGCCGCCGCCGCCGCACGCACAAACCGCTTCAGCCGCCGCCGGAAGGGCAGCTCGGAGGCGGCCAGGGAGGCGGCGGCCCTGGCCGCCGCCTGCGCGCCGCTGCGCCGCTGCACCACGCGCCCCGCCGCCACGCCATCCAGGCTGCCTGTGCTGCGCTGCTCCTCGTCGGGGCTGCCGGACGCCTCTGAATCGCTGCTGGCGCCAGACTGCCCCGCCTCCCAATCCGACTCCTCCACAGCCGCCGCTTTCTTCTGCCGCGCGGGCTTGCGCCCCCGCTGCTGCTGCTTGCCGCCCGGCTTGCGCGTCTGCTGTCTCCGCTTGGCCGCCGCTGCCGCAGCCGCCGCCTCCACCTCGCCTTCATCATCCGACAGGCCCGAGCTGGCTGCCGCCACCAGCCCTTCTTCCTCCTCCTCATCCGAGAGGTTGGCCAGGTCCACGCCGTGCTTGCTGGCAAGCTTGTGCAGCCTGCAGGCACGCCGAGGTCGCCGTCGGCGAGCCGGCCAGGCGGCGGCGGGCAGCAGCGGCTGGCGGGCCAGAGGGAGCAAGCAGAGCAAACAGCGCACGGCGCTCGGCGGGGCGCCAGCCGTGCAGCCCCGACGCATCCCGCTGCACCGCGTGCGGCGCGTGGCGCCCCGTGCTTGCCTGTCGGACAGCTTGGGCGTCCAGCCCTTCTCCCAGCCCAGCCCCACCACTCGGTCAAGGATGGCATTCAGAGAGGCGTCGTGCTCCTTCTCTGCAGGCGGGCACACGGGCAGGCGCAGGCGCGGGTGAAGGCCCGGCTCCCGCCCCGCCCCAGGCAGCATGGCAAGGACATGGAAACATAGAGGTGAAGGTTCTTCTGCTTCCATGTTTCAGGACGAGAGGTTCCTGTTCTGGTGCCAAGCGTGTCCCCTGCTGTCCTGTGCCCGCCCACCTGTCACCATGATGAAATCGGGGTCCTGCTCATCCTCCAGCACCTCCACCGCAGCCTCGATGGCGGCGCGCGTCGCCGCGCTGCCCTCCTTGTCCTGCGTGCCGCCGATCACGCCGCGGCAGTTCTTGGAGCCGCACAGGCACTTCATCGGCTGCGGCGGGCGGCAGGCGAGGCGGAAGGGGCAGCAGGGGGTGTGACAGCGCATCACCCGAGGAGCTCCAGGAATCGGCTCTGGCCCGGCTGCCCCCAGCTGCCTCCAACGCCCTGCCGCCACGATGCATCCCGCAGCTAGCCGCAGCCGCGAGGTGCCACAGCCGACCCCCACCAGCCCGCAGCAAGCAGCCCGCTGCTCCACCCCTCCAGCCTGCCCCCCGCCGCCGGCCTGCCCCGCCGGCCCCGCAGCCGCCCCAAGCAGCGCTGCCGCGCCAGCCGCAGCCCCCAGCCCGCACCTTGTCCCCGTATCGCTCGAAGTTGTAGTCAAAGGTGAGTTCGGTGCCGGCGGAGATGTCTTCCAGCGTGAACAGCCCAATGGCCAGCTCGCCGTGAACCACCCACTTCTGCGTCTCGCAGTTGGGCTCGCAGCTGTGGTTGATGAAGCGCCCCAGGTTGCCCTGCACACACAACACACACACACACACATACGCGCGCGCATATGCACTCGGCACATACAATCAACAGGAGATGCGGTGCCGCGGCGGTGCCCTGTGCACGCCGCCACCCACGGCCGCCTCTGCTGCCGCCGCTGCTGCCCAGGCTGTGCTGCTGTGTGGGGCGCCTGCCGCCTGCTCGTGTGGCGCCCGGCGACTGCTGCCGCCACCCACCCGCCGCGACGCGTCGATGACCTCGCCGTTGCCCACATTCATGAAGTAGTAGTGGCGCTGCCCGGTCTCAATAAAGTACTCCTTCCTGCAGGCGGTACAGGCAGCAGTACATGCCAGGCTCTCCCAACCCCACAGCAGCCTGCACATCCAGCCAGCCGGCCGGGCGCCGGCAGCCAGGCAGCGGGGACCCGCCGGCGCGCCGGCACGCCGCACACCAGCCAGGCATGCAGGGGCAGGCTGGCGCGGTGCCGCTGCCACCACGCAAGGCGATTGCGAGCATCGCGGGCGTTGCACCAAGCGGCGCCTTGCCTGCGGTGGTACTCCTCCTCCTCCAGCACCTCCCCCAGGTACTCGATCAGAAACTGCCCCGCCTTCATGTCCTCCGCAGCAAACAGTCCAAAGCCCTTGGCCCCCGCGCGCTTCTGCAGCACCCAGCGCAGGCACGCGGCGGCGTCGGCGCCCCGGCACGGCTCGCAGGCTGGGGCCGCGGGCAGGGCGCGCTGCCGGGGACAGCCCTGCCGCTGCTGCTCCTGGCCACCAGGCTCCCCCCGGCTGCTGCTGGGCCCGCTGCGCCCGCCCCTCAACCGCCCCAGCTGCTGCTGCTCCCTGCCTGCCCCCGCCACTCACCACATCCAGTTTGGAGTACTCCCGCTTGGTGAACATCTGGTTGGAGCAGCGGTGGCCACTGGGGCAGTACTCCTGCAGGCCCAGCCGGCAGCGCCAGGCGCTCGAGCCTCACCACATGCGCTGCAAACGAACCCAGCAAACCACGCCCTACACCGCAGCGCCAAAAGCAGGAAACAGGCGGAGAGGCGCCCCGCAGAGTGCGTGCGCAGCAAGGCCAACGGCGGCAGCTGCCGGGCTGCCGGGCGGAAGTAACCTAGGCCCCCTGCCGCACCTCAACACATTCGATGTTGAGCATGCGATTGAGGCACTCGGCGCCGCAGCCGACGGTGGTGCCGTCTGTGGCCCAGATCTTCTTGCACTGGCAGATCATGATGTCGTCCTCGTCCTGCTCCTTGCGCTCCCGGTGCGTGTACAGGTTGCTGGTGATGAGCTGCCACACGGGCGGGCGCTTGTGGTGGCGCGGCGGCGTGCTGCCGGGTGCGTCGCCGGCGGCGGCGCCGCCGCCGCCCGCGTCGCCGCCCTTGGCCTTGTCCTGCAGCGGCGGGGGCAAGGCTGGGGCACAGTCAGTCTGGGGGGGAGGTATGGGTGTGGTGTGGCACAGCCGCGCGCGCTTGGCAGGTGCGTGTGCTGCGGGAAGGCCGCGCCAAGGTCGCTGCGTGCGTCGTGGGCGCTGGAGCGCAGGCCGCCTGTGCACGCCCCTGGCGGCGGCTGTGGGCTGCAGCACCCACATCTCCGGTGTGCAGCAGGTCGATCTCGGCATCTGTGAGCTCCTGGGGGATGTCGCAGCTGTTGTGCTTCGCGTCTGGGTTGTGCTTGCAGTACCTGGAGGCGGCGGGGTGGGGCGGGCGGCGGTGAGTGGCGCCATGCTCTGCCACACCTGATGCCGCTCGCTCACTCACCATGCAGCATCGTCGTCCAGGCTCTCCGCCACGGCCGCGGGGACTCGGCGCCACTTAGAGCAGGCGTCGCAGGCCACCCACTGTTGCAGCTCCACTACTCCAGCGGGCGGCTGCGCAGGGAGCTTCTCCTCCTGCATGCTCGCCGGCTGGGGCGAGGCTGGACGCTTTATGCACACATTGTTGCAGCGATTGTTGCCGCCAGGCCAGCCCTGCTCCCAGAAAACTTGTCCAACAAACAAACAGACTGAGCAGGTTTGTGGGGGCTGCAGGGGGACCTCTTTGCTCAAATCGAGGGACGTGGCGCCACCTGGGTGGCAACCCGCCCAAACGCGCGGACTGAACCCTCTCATCACCATCCTTTGTTTTGGCAGACTCCACAGCTCGAGCCACTGCAGCACCGCCCACATTGCCGCCCCGGCGCCACCCACCCAACACGCAGGCTAGGGCAACGCTGCAGCGCCACCCAACCCGGTGCAGGGAGGTTGGGGGGCGTGGGCAGCCATGCCGGGCTCCCCCCACGTCACGGTGATAGAGGAGGGCGGCGGCGGGCGGCGCCCCGAGTCCGCCCGCCACGCGCTGGCATCTGCCTCCATCACCCTCACCCTCGCCATCCTCGGCTCTTCTGTGCTGCCCATCCCCTATGCCTTCTCCCGTCTGGGCGTCCTGCCAGGCCTGGCCATCATGCTTGTCGTGGCAGCCTCCAACTCGCTGTCGGGCACCCTGCTGCTGCGCTGCGCGTCCAGCCTGGACAAGGGCACGTTTGAAAGCCTGGCCGAGACGGTGGGAGGGCCGACGTGGAAGGTGCGCGCTGCTGCTTGTGTGTGCGGTTGAAACGCTGTGGCATTGGTCGTTGGTGGCATCCCAACGTGACTGCGCCGCTCTGCCGCGACTCCGCCCGCTCTTTTTCCCTGCTGCCTGCAACGGCGGCGCTTGCCCGCCATCCCACCCCGCCCACGCCGCTGCCCTCCCCCCTGCCGCGCAGCTCGTGACCGAGGTCTGCCTGGTGCTGCTGCTGTGGGGCAATTTGACGGGAGACTTCTGCCTGCTGGCAGACATGGGCACCATAGCCACGCAGGAGCTATTCCCGGGCGGCCCTCCCGCCTGGCTGGTGGCCGGCAACGGCCGCCTCCTCATGGCAGCCCTGGCGCTCCTCGTCGTCTTCCCGCTCAGCTGCCTGCGCCACCTGCGCCAGGTGAGCTGCTGCGCCCTGCAGCTGTAGCTGCCGCGCGGTCCCCAGTGGTGCCCAGCAAGCTTCCACTGTTCTGCTTGCCAATGTGCTGCTGCTGCACACGGCCCCTGCAGCTGGACAAAGCTGGCCTGGCTGGGGTGGGGTTTGTGGCCGTGGTGGCGGCGATTTTCGTGCGGTGTGCCGTGGGCGACGGCCTGCCAGCCGTGGCCAGCGGGGAGCTGCCGCTGTGGCGCCCCGCGGTGACCGCCAACCTGCCAGAGGCCGTCGGGGTGCTGTCCTTTGCGTGAGTGTGGTGGAGGCTGCCGATTCCAGCAGCCGGCTGCAGCAGTAGGGCAGCAGCAGCGGCGGCACCTGCCGCTGCACCTGCGTGCCTGTGCTCCTCCAGAGCCGCGTGTGCGCTGCTCTGCTTGCCTGCTGCAGGTTTTACTTGACCCCAATGCTTCTGCCGCTGCTGCGGGAGATGCCAGCGGGCAAGCTGGGGGTTGACCTGACCTGCAGAGCCGTCCAGATCGTGACAGTGGGTGGGTTGCAACGCTCGCCGCCAGCTGCAGCTCTGCTCCCTGCGCTGCTGCGCGCAGGCAGGGGCTGCTCAACCCTGGGCCCCAGCCCTTCTCCTCCCGCTCCTTTCCCTGCCGCAACCTGCTGCCTGCGCTCCTCTCCTGCCCCCCCGCAGGCGTGGCCTACTTGACATATGCCGTCATCGGCTTCTTCGCAGCTGCCCGGTACGGCCTGCGCACCGAGGGCGACGTTCTGGTCAACCAGTGGCTGCCGGGGCGGTGGGATGGCGTGCTGGGCGCCTTTATGACCGTCTACCTCTCGGTCTGCATGGCTCCCATGGCCATCACCCTGAGGTGCCAGCTGGAGAAGTGAGGCGCGGCCACGCCGACCCGGCTGCCTGCCCGGCTGCCGTGCCCCCGCTTGCTGTGCTGCCCGCCGGGCTGGCTGCCGCGTGCTGCAGGTTGCTCGTGGCAGGCGGGCAAGCCGCTGCGTGTGGTGCCGTAGCTTGCGCCTGCGGACGCTGGCCTGCGGCTGTCTTCTTTCTTTGTACCCAGCCGGGAGAACTCATTGGCTGGTTTCGTACTCTCCTGGCTGGCCTGCCTTGCAGCCTGCTCCTCGAGGAGGACGCCGCCATGCCACGCGGGCGCCAGGTGGCGCTGACCGGGGCCTGCCTGCTGAGCAGCCTGCTGCTGGCGCTGGCGTTCCCCACCTCTGCCGAGAAGATGTTTGCAGGCAAGCGCCCAGGGAGCCGCCTGTGCGAGGCCGGTTGACCGCGATGCCCCTGCTGCGGGTACCAGCGCATGGGTGCAGTCGCCAGCCGGCCGCCACCACCGTGCTTGCCCCATTCTCGTGCACGCCTCACGCCTCCCTACTGCTTCCCCATGCAGTGACTGGCGCCACCGCTGTGTGCGCCGTCTGCTACGTGCTGCCTGTGGCCATCCACCTCAAGCTGTACCTGCGCGGCAGCGGCTGGTGGCGCGGCGCCGGCGCCGGTGTCGCCGGCAAGGGCCGCGGCGCGCCGTGGCTGGCGCGGCGGCGCAGCTTCAGCTTTGACCACCGCGCGCCGCCGGGCGGCCCGCTGGCCGGCGGCGGCCCCGGCGGTGGCAGCAACGACCGGCTGGATCCCCGCTGGCTGCTAGCGGCCGACTACCAAGCCGGGTCTGCGGCCCTGCCGCGCATGCAGGCCACCTCCTCGTCACGCGTGGCAGCCGCCTTTGCTGCCCATCTGGGCGATGCAGCGGCAGCGGGGCAGGTGCCACCGCTGGGGCTGGGGCGCCAAGGCGGGGCGGCTGAGGGCCCGCAGCAGCAGCAGCAGCAGGGGGCGGAGTGGGGGGAGGAGGAGGAGGAGGGGGAGGGCCAGGAGCGGCGCAGCCGGGCCGACCTGCTGTCAGGCCACAAGTGGACGGACCTGTCGCTCAACCGCTGGCTGCGCGGCCAGTCGTACGACAGCGTGGGGGGCATGAGCGGCTACCCCGACTCCCTGCCAGCCACCCCGCTGTCCCCGGGCGCCTCCAGCTCCCGCGCCTGTGGCCGCGGCGGCGGGCGCGACAGCATGGACAGCCTGAACGGCGGCGGCGACCAGCTGGATGGCTGGGACCCGCTGGGCAGCGACGAAGAGCAGCAGCAGCAGCAGCAGCAGCAGACGCCACCATGGAGCCCCGAGGCGGCGCCCCTACTCCCCAGCCCTGGCGTGGCCCGCGACGCCATGCCCCTGCTGCCTGCTGTCCCGGAGGCCGCCTCGCTGGCGGGCGCCGATTTCGGCAGGCCCGGCGGCGGCGGCGGCGGCGGGGGGTACCCGTGCCTAGCGGATGCGGGATCGGGGCGAGACGCGGTGCTGCCGCTTCTGTGGCACGTGGTGCTGCCGTTGGGAGTGCTGCTGCTTGGTGTGGCGTCCAGCATCAGCGCTCTGTGCCTGGCTGTGGCGGCCCTGGTCTAGGGGATGAGCCATACACCGACACGTCCTCCTGGTGCCCTGACTTCCTGTCCTCCCTGTCACTCCCCTCCCTGTTGAGCCATTAACTCCAATCCTGATGACTAGCTGGGCAATGCCTAGCTGGGCAGTGGGCTTTCACATACAGGTCACGGGCAGCTACACAGGCATACATTCAGAGATCAGCCATCGACCAAAGGAAGGGGACTACGATGAATCGAAAGCGCAAGTGTACAACGAAACCGCGGTCATGGTAAAGGGTTCAGGGGCGCCATTGCGGTTTGTGGTAGTGATAAACAGAAGCAGGAGAACAAGCACATCATAGCATTGAGACGAATAGGTCAGTGGTTGTACAGTATTCAAGCATCGTAGATCAGGCAGGCGGTTGTTGGTGTCGATTTCTGGCAGTTGCGAGATGGATCACGTTGTAGAATCAAAGTAGAAGGCGCTCGATGCCCAACAATACTTGGGCATTTCACAAAGGCGCACCAAGCGCCAGCCACAGATGAATGGTCCAATGTGCATGTGGCTGGACGTATCCAGCGCTCACTTACGAATGGCGTGGCCGGCAGCCGGCGCCGCGACGGCACTTCCAGCAGCGGCTGCGACTGCGGAGCTGCGGCGGCCTGCCAGCCTCAGCGCCTGCACCACAGCCACCTCCAGCTGGCGGACCGCTGCCGCTGCGGCAGCTGCAGGGCTGGTGGTGCCGACGCCACTGACCTCGAGCCGTGCCAGCAGCTGGTCGCCACGCAGCAGCAGGGAGCAGGGGAGATGGGTGATGCCTAGCCCCTGCATCAGCTCGACGCGCTCGCTCACCGACCCCGGGCCCGTGCCGTCTGCCGCTGCTGCACCATCAAGCACGCTGCCGGCAGCTGCCGCAGCGGCCTCGCCGGGCTGCATGGTCATCGTGAGGAACAGGGCTGCCGGGTGCTTGCGTGCCGCTTGCCTTAGCCGGGGCTGGAATGCCTGCAGCCACACAGTGCGGAAGTGGGATGACCAGGGGGTGGGACTCGCTGTTGCTCCTGTGTAGTTAAGAATGCAGCATAGTAGCACTAGCCCGGTGGGCACTCACCTGGCCCAACTGGCAGCCAGCCGACGCCACATGTAGCACTATCAGGCGGTGCGGGTGGCAGGCCAGCAGGTGCTGCAGCTCGGCCGCACTCTGGATCTGCACACACATCATAGCAAACGACAGTTGATGATTCGCAATTGAAAGCAAGTAGGCAAGGCAAAGGGCAAAAGAGATCAGGCAGGGTGTGGCGAACCTGCAGGATGGGGGAAGGCGCTGACGGAACAGCCGCCGCCGCCGCTCCAGAATGCGTGCCAGAATGCAAGTCAACGCGGCGCTGCCCCGCCGCCTGATTGTGGACTTCAGCCAATGGCAGGATGTTGGCTCGGTCTGCCGCTGCTGGTGCTGCAGGGGCCTGGTCGGGCTGCCAGTTGCTGGCGGCGGCTTGCAGCGCTGGTGCGGCCTGCCCAGCCCCCCTGCCCTGCGGCTGCTGCATGTGACGGGGAGGTGATTTGGTCGGGTGGGGCGGCGAGGCGCCCGCAAGGGCCGCGGCGGTCAACGTGTGCCCTAGCATCGCTCCCCCGCAAGCTGTCAATGCAGAACGACTATTTCACAGGCTGACAAGGGCGTCTGATGCGGAGGCTCGGAGGGGGCTGATTTGTTTGTGAATGCGGCAATGATGTGACATGTGACACGTGGAGTTCCCATCCGCACTGCCAACGCGCCTGCCAACGCGCCTGGCGGGCTCATCCGGCCATGCCATGATGCTAGCCGAGTGCCAGCGTCGCGCCAGCCTTGGGTCCAGCGACGGGTGGCGGGCCCGCCTGGCGGCAGGTCCTGTTGCTTGCTTGCTTGTGTGGGCTTAAAGTCTGGTAAAGCAAGAACTAGCTTGCAACATAGACTCCCCGCCGAAACGGGACGGGAACCGGGCGAAAGCAGAGAAAGCAATAAAACAGGGGTGGAGCAAGCCTGTGCAGGGCGCTGGCTCCAAACGCCGCAGATTACGTGAAAAGCGTGACCTATCTTAGCAGCGAGATGGTCATGATCTGCAGAAACACAGAGGTCCGAGACGATCCCCAGAACGCTGCTGCCGCGATACAACTACAGCGCCGGGTGTGTGGAGAGCGGAGTCTCGCACTCAGATGCCCGCCCTTATGTCTGTCTGAAAGCCTTCTGATCAATGACGGGCTATCCCACTGCGCACATATATTTTAATTCAATAGAATTTGTTTGGCACGACAGGCAGCCGTCTGTTGGCCAAACTGAGTCGGACGGTGCAGTTCAGGCCTAAGCTGCTAAGGATCCCCACGTCCCCCACCACGTTGTGGGGGTTGCGTGTCCGGCAGGACGGGGAGCGGGGCCAGGGTGGGGTGACCCTGGGACGCTCAGCTGGGGGGAGGGTGGTCGGAGCCATGGAGAGGGTGCTCCATGGTCCACCCCCTCTCTTGATGCCCCTTGATCACGTGTGCCCCCTGCCCAAGGTCTGCTCACGCGGCCTATCATAGCGGGGTGACTGTAACACAGGGTTAGTTCATCAAATGAGGATGCAGCCAAAATTGAAGATCAGGCGAGGAAAGTAGATGCAAAGATGCAGAATCAGAGGGCGGCACCTGTCCAGCATCAGCCGCCCAGCCTGCCACGCATGACCGAGTCGAGCTGCTGGGATTTAGGTGTCGGGAAGGCCTCGTGCACAATTTTCCGCACCTGCACCACACGAGCTTGACATGGCCCTCACAAACTTGCATGCTCCTGTTGCTGCATGGCCCACAAAAGTCCACGCAAGGGGTGCACAGCAGTGCCCAGTGCAGAGGCCGCCCAGCTTTCGCCCGGTTCCCGTCCCGTTTCGGCGGGGAGTCTATGTTGCAAGCTAGTTCTTGCTTTACCAGACTTTAAGCCCACACAAGCACAAGCAAGCATGCGGGCAGCAGCTGCACCCCTACCCCCCACCCCCCCACCCCCCACACACACTTAACGCACACACACACCTCCTCCAGCATCTGCGGCGCGGGAAGGTTGGCCAGGCTTTCCTTCACCATGGATTCATTGAAGCGCAGCGCATCCGGGTGGAGGTTTTTCGCAAACCAGGGGTGCCCCACAATGTCCTGCAGGCAGGCAGGCAGGCAGGCAGGCGCATGTGAACGAGGATGGTGCAGTGCTGGCGCTGCTCCTGCTCGCCGGTGCTGCAAAAATGCGCAGCAGGCAACCCCCCCAGCTGTGCGACGCCACACTCACTTGCAGGGAGAGCCGCTTGTTTGTGTCTAGGACAAGGATGCGGCTGATGAGGTCACGTAGCTCTTCGCTGCAACAGGGGCAGCCAGCCCAGCCATGTGCAACACATGCTGAGACCTAGGTATGCAATGAAAGACATAAGCCCACGGTGTCTCTGCTCAGGGGTGACACAGCCAGCTGCACTCTGTAGATGTGCAGTCACTGCCTGAGCCCGCACCTCAGCTGTTTATGGGGTGGGAACTGATAGTCTGCGAGCAGGATCCGCCTAAACTGCGCTTGCAAAGCTTCATGGAGCGGCAGCAGAGCATCTTGCGGCCGGTGGAATGGGTAGGTGTTGCAGCACATGGTGTACAGCAGCACGCCACAGGACCAGACATCTGCCTTCTGCACACCACAGCACAGCAGGCAGGCAAGTGAGCATTGAGCGATCGCAAGCTAGCCAAAAACCGTTTTAAGCTCATCAGCGCATCGTGGTGCTAGGGCTGGCTGCACCTGCGAATCGTAGGCCTGCCCCGGCCGGCTGTTGATCACTTCCGGCGCCAGGTAGGCAGGTGTGCCCACCCTGCTGGTGGGCGCGCTGTGCATGTCGTGATCCTTGCTGAAACCAAAGTCCGCCAGCTGGAAAGAAGAGGGCAAAAGGGAGGAAGGCGGCACGCAGGAGGGGTGTGGTCGAACGCAAGACTGTGATCTCAGGCTGCACACCCACAACTCATGTTGCAGGGAGCTCGGAGGGCCCCACACCCCATGTTTGTGCCCACCTTAATTGTGGGACAAGCCCCGCCAGTCAGCAGCGTGTTTTCCAGCTTGATGTCCCGGTTGCTCACCCCCTGCACCAGCAATGCTAGGCCTAAGCACCAGCGCAGGAGCACCACAGATGCCGAGCCCCGGAACTCACACCCTCAGCGGCCCGGGAGCGGCCTGCTGTTGGCCATGCATTCATGCTAGCAGGCCAGGCTGCGCACCATGCTGTGGCAGTAGGCCAGCGCAATGATAAGCTGCTGGAAGAACCAGCGAGCATCGTGTTCGCTGAGGCCCTTCCTTGACTTCACGTAATGGAAAAGGTTGCCTCCGGCCGCATACTCCATTGCCAGCACCAGGTGGGTGTCGGTGAGGAACACCTCTTGCAGGGCTATGATGTGCGGATGCCGCAACTTCAGTTGGTTGACAATCTGCGGCAGGTGGCAGTGAGGTGGCTGGACCTGGCAGCGTCGCCGGGCTGCCTGCATCCTGCCAGTCCGCACGGACAGCCGCTCACCTCACGCTCCACATACTTGTCTATATGCTGCAGGGCGGGCAAGCAGACCAGAACCGGACAACACAGAAAGTGTGAGGGACCTGCGCATTTGCAGGCAGCAATCCCCCAGCTCAGGTAACCAAGCCTTCCCCTTCACTCACATCGGGCCCTCGGCAAACGAATTTGAGCGCAACGTGTTGCCCCGTCAGCCGGTCCAGCGCCAGCAACACCTTGCCATGGGCCCCGCCGCCCAGCTCGGCAACCTGCAGGATGGAGCGGGTGCAGCAGGCGTCGGGTAATAAACGTGGGCAGCGGCGGTGGCGGCGGCACCGTCACCTACACCAGCTCAATGTCGTGCTGGAGAGCATTCATCAGAGCACCACGGCACTGCCAAACGCAACCGGACGCAGCGCTATGCGTTGAGTTCAGCCCCCGGAAATCATGGCACGCGAGGCGGCTGTGCACAGGACATGCCTGAGTATAACGCGGGTGGTCGCTGAGTAGTGGAGTCGATACAATGCCGTCCGCTTGGTGCGCCGCCACAGCCATAAGTTCAGGCCGTGACACCCAGCACCCCGAGACGCGCGAACCTTTCACTGAGAAAGTCAGCTACTCCACTGGCTGTGACATGAACAGCGAAAGCGTCCCACATCAGGCTGATCACGCCGCCCAGGACGCGCCATCACCGCCACATCGGCGCCACGCTGGGCATCGCACCGACACCAGTTGCAGAGACGAGGGGTGCACATCTCACAGGGCATGGTGAGGCAGCATCTAAACACAATCATCATCGCCACAGTGCATCCAGAAAAAGAATCGACAGCAGCAGAAGGAGCGGAGCAACCGAGAGGAGCAAAGAGAACAGAGGTGAGCACACAGCAATTCAGTGCCTCAGGGAGAAGGACAAAAAACGGAGGCGGATGCCAGGGAAGACAGCCAGAGCGCCTGGGGAGCAGAGGGGCGCAAGAAGAAGAATCCAAATTGTGGCGGGCACGGGCCCGCCTGGGCTGCAGAGGGAGCTGAGCTGCAGGAAGGCAGAGCTAGAAGGTTGTGTCGGTGGAATCCTCAGACATGAAGCCCAGCTGGCACATCAGCGCCGTGCCGCTCTCGATGCTGAGGCTGGGGCGGATGCCCAGGTGCGCAACGCGCGTGCACAGCTGGCGCCAGGCGGGCGTCTTCTCCGCCAGCCACGGCAGCTCGCTGGCGCAGATGCCCAGGCGGCGCAGGGTGGGGTGCTGGTTGGCCCAGGCAGCGATGGCGGGGTGGCGCTCGTAGCGGCTGCGGGCGCTGTCGGTGCCCAGCGTGTCCACCACCACCAGCGCCTCCAGGCGCTGCCCCGCCGACAGCAGCTGCAGGTTGGCGGCGGCGGTGATGCTGCTCAGCGCGGCGCGGCGCAGGCTGGCCAGCCAGGGCCCCGCGGGCAGCGCGCCGCACGACAGCGCGGGGCCGCCCTCCTCCTCGTGCTGCTGCAGCCAGCAGAAGCTGTGCAGGCAGGCCAGGCTGCCCAGCTCCGCGGGCAGGCCCAGGCCCAGGCAGTCGACGTTGCGCAGGGCCAGGTGGGTGAGCAGCGACAGCTGGCGCAGCGCGCAGCCCAGCGCGCTGTGCGCGTTGCCCCGCCCGTACCAGCCGTGGGGGGTGTCGTCCAGGCGCAGCACGCGCAGCGTGTTGAGGGCCGACAGGCAGGCGGGCAGGTGCGTGCAGTTGGCCAGCGACAGGCGCTCCAGCTGGGTCAGCTGCTGCAGCTGCAGGTAGTCGTCTGGGGAGGTGGAGTAGACTCTGCTGAGGCCCAGCGAGCGCAGCTGCGTCAGCGATTCCAGCTGCACAGGGGCGCGGGTGGGAGGCATGTGTGTGTGTGTGTGTGCGCATGTGTGTGTGTGTGTGTGTGTGTGTGTGTGTGTGTGTGTGTGTGTGTGTGTGTGTGTGCGCATGTGTGTGTGTGTGTGTGTGTGTGTGTGTGTGTGTGTGTGTGTGTGTGTGTGTGTGTGTGTGTGTGTGTGTGTGTGTGCGTGTGCGCATGTGTGCATGTGTGTGTGTGTGTGCATGTGTGCATGTGTGCATGGGTGTGCATGTGTGTGTGTGTGTGCGCATGTGTGTGTGTGTGTGTGCATGTGTGTGTGTCGCGATGAACCCAGAGGAGTGAGGGGGCCTCGCAGTAAAGGTCCGGTCTGTCAGCTGGACCGCAGTGACCCAGCACGATCCAGGAGGGCAGGCAGGACAGGCCGGCAGTGCTGCCGGCAAGCGGGCTTGCCTGGCGGGGCAGGCAGTGCCGCGGGGAGGTGGTGCGTGAGGAGTCCAGGTAGCCGTCTAGGTAGAGCTTGACCAGGGAGGGGGGAAGGCCCCTGGACAGGTTGACCTTGCCGCCGCCCAGGCGCAGCTCAGCCAGCGTCGTGAGGGCGGCGAGGCCGTCCAGGCTGAGAGCTTCATAGGAGCCGTCGCCCTCGGCCTCGTACTCGGCCTCCTGCTGCTGCACATAGGCGTCGATGCGCAGCCAGCGCAGGCTGCGCAGCGCGCCCAGCTCCTGCTGGCCCAGAGCCAGGGCGCTGTCGACGTGCAGCCGCAGGGAGGCGAGGCGCCCCGGCGCGCCGCAGGCGGCCAGGCTCTCCGCAAAGCGGCGGGCCAGGGCGTCGTCAGCCAGTGCGCCGCCCTGCTGCTCCCCGGCCCCCAGCCAAACCTCCAGCTGCTGCACGTGGGGCGCGGCGCGGTGGCGCAGCCACCCGAACAAGGCGCGCAGCGGCTCGGCACCGCGGTCGAGCGCGTGGTCGAGCCTGTCCAGCCGCACAGTGACCCTCTGCAGTAGCTGTGGACTGTCCAGCAGGTGCCTCCATCGCTGGCATACGAGGGGGAGCGTGCGGTGCCTGCACCGGAAACAACGTGCGGTCGCTGGGCGGGAGAAGCGCAGGACCGGTCCGGTGCGTCAGCGGCGGCTCGCCACCCACCCACCCCAGCCCTCCCCTCGCTGCGGCGGCTCTTGCCTCTGCTGCAAGGTGAGGAAGCTGAAGCAGTGTATCAGCATGCCGTCGTCCAGCGCAGCTAACTCCTCCATGTCCATCCCGCCGCTCCGCCCCGCGGGGGCTGAAGAAGAAGAAGTCAGGCGGACAGTTGGAGGAACGGCCCCGAAGAAGATGTGCGCTGAAGCTGGAGGGGATGTGATGTGACCCCACGGGCGGTGCGCTGGCGCTGCCGCATGCCAGTGGCGGGCCCTTGCCTGGCCTTGGGCTGCAATTGATTTCTCCAACCATACTCAACCATACTCACGCATCTACCAACATATGTGCAGGGTCTGTGACAGGCGGGTGCCAACTCCGCGCAGCAGCAGGCAAGAATAGGCCTGGTCAAACCCCGATATTGGTGAAATCTGCTGCGAGAGATCCTGCGTCCAATGGACCCCACAGCGACCTCGTGCCTTTGTCTCGCCATGCCCCCTTGCACTCAGCAACACATCCCCGTCTCCTCTGAACCCTGGCCGCAGACGGCTCCCCTCTCTAGCCGGCAGCTCCAGCAGTTGGCCAGCAACGAAGAGTGCGTTACAGCAGGGCCAGGCGTGCCCAAAGTGACCCTCCAGCCATGCAGCGCTTGCTGTGGCTGGCTGCCCGGGCGGCCGCCGCCGCTGCTGCTGGCGCCGTGCCTGGTGGGCTACGTGGCGCAGGCTTACTGGCCGCCCTGGCCAATCTCAGCCTTCTTGGCGGTCCACAGATGGTCAAGCGCAGAGTCGGCCTCACCCTGCACACCCAGGCAAGCAGAAGCCAGCATGCGCACCGCGGTTCAGATGGCGGCTGTACAGGCAAGCAGGGCGCAGTCCCAAGCGTGATACACACAGCGCTCCCTCCCGTGCCACGCCACGCCGCACCCCAACCTTGGCACACCACCAGTGCCACCTGCCACCTGCCGCAGCCATGCCACGCAGCGGGGCGCAAGGAGCGGAGATGGGCACGAGCAGAGCCAGGCGACAGCATCAGACGAGGCGAGACCTGACGAGGGCATGTGCCGCACCTTGTTGCGCAGCTGGCCGCAGAGGGCAAAGGTGGAGAAGGAGCCGTTGTACACGCCGCTCTCGTCCAGGTGGCCAATGTTGAGCTGCACGCTGCCGTGGTCCTTGGCGGTGATCAGCTTGTTGGTCCACGAGCTGCGGGGCGGGCGAGCGGGAGGCGGATGCGGAGGTGAGGATGGTCAGCAGGACGGGAGGGCTCGGTGCCAGCTTACAGCCCATTTTGCTGAGGCAGGCTGCCAGCTGCTTGGGGGTTGCCCCAACGTTGCTGATGGCCCCACTCCCAGGTATTGCCACAATCGCTGCCACCCATAGGACGGCGTGCCACACATGGCCGGGCGCGACCCCAGGCGCCAGCGGCTGCTGCCGCTGGCGGTCCGGCTGCTGAATCGAAATGCTGGCGCTGCTGCTGCCGCTGCTGCTCACCACTTGCGCGGGATGTACAGATCGACAATCTCGCCCTGCACACACACCACACAACACGGCGGCACCCTCAGCACCTGCAGCACTGCGTTCGATGCTGCCTGCTGCCGCGGCATCAGCCGCCGACCGAAACAGGACAGCATGTGCCATGTGCTGCACATCCGACGTTCCACTGCCATGCCACAGGGGGCGCCTCCTGGCTGCCGCTGAGACCAATGGAATTGACTGCCATGCGGCGGCTCCGGCTTCTGCTTGCTGCCCCGCCTGCTGCAACTGCTGCGGGCCCCTAGAGCTGCAACCAGTCTGTTCCCTGTCTTCGCATCTCCCCCTCACCTCGTCGTTCTTCATGGTGCTGCAAGTGGCAGGGAGGATGGCAGCAGCGGTGAGACGAGCGCGTGGCGGCGACATGGGAGGCGGAGCAGCAAGCGGATGGCCACAGCACCCTGTCGGGCAACGATTGGTGCATGCCCTTGAGCCGAACAGGAGGCTAGCAGCTCCCGCAGAGCGGCAAGGCCCGCGCATGGTGGAGCGATGCAGGGGGTCATGGCGTCAGCAGCGGGCGCGGCTCATGCCCCGAGGTCCATGCAGGCCGCTGCAGAGCCAGCGAGCCCCAGCAACAGCACGACGTGCGGGCGGCATCACTCCCAGCGCTGCGTAACTCACCCTGGCCTTGCTAGAACGGGCGGGGCGAGTGCACGTCCGTCAAGAGAGACCGATTGCGGCCTGGCAGAGGGCCATTAGGCTCGCCCCGCTGGCATGAATGCCTGGGACGGCTGAGGGCGGCCCCGGGCCAGGCGCCGCCAGAGAGGCATTGGATGCCCAATTCCAGCCTCGGTTGGCCTGTGCACGCTTTTCAGCAGCCTCTCAGCGCTGCGGGTGCATGCATGGTCGAGAGCCTTGCCCAACCGATCACCCCCTTTCGCTCTGAACCCGCTTCCCCTCGATCCGCTTTAGACTGCCACATATATAGTCATTGCCACCTGAAACCATCTCCGCGCTGGCTTGAACATGTCGCTCCTTGCGGGCTGCTATGAGCGCTTCCTCTTCGGCTACCAGCTGGAAGGGGAGGTTCAGGTGAGGAGGTCAATCATGCCGGGGCGGGCGGCACCTCCAGCGCGTGCCAGCCACGCCGCCGCCGCCCTGGCTACCGCCGCCGCTCTCAGGCGCAGCTGCAACCCCACGCCCGCTGCCGTCCAACCCAACCGCGTGCAGGGCGACGCAGCCGAGGGCGAGCAGAAGCTGGGCCTGCACCGCAGCTTCACCCACGCCGCGCACAAGGGCGTGGTCAAGTGCGTGGCGGCGGCGGGGCAGTGGGGCGCCACTGGCGGCGCCGATGACCTCATCCACCTGTACGACTTGAAGGTGAGGGCCACGGAGCGCTGTGAGAGGCCCAGCTGAGTCGACTGTGTGGTAACATGTCATGCCAGGCAGGCGCAGTGACGCCGGCCATGTGCGCCGCCCTGCCCCGCCCAGCGTCAGGCGCGCCCGCTGCACGGCTGAACACATGCCCCCCGCTCCCCGCTCCCCGGCCCCTGCGCCACCTGCTCCCCTGGCAGAGCGATAAGGATCTTGGCTTCCTGATGAGCCCAGGCGAGGGCGCCGTCACGGCCCTCGCCTTCTTCGCCCCGGCAGGCGCCTACAACCCCACCCACCTGCTCTCAGGCAGCGCCGACGGCAGCGTCAGCGTGTGGCAGGCCGGCGGCGGGTGGGAGTGCCTCAAGACGATGCGGGGGCACAGGAAGGACGTGGCCGCCATCAGCGTGCACCCCTCGGGCCTGCTCGCCCTCACCGTCAGCCGGTGAGCGGCGCCGCCTGGCGGGCTGGCACTGTTGACCGCCGGCATCTCCTGGATCCCCAGTTTCACCTCGGCGAGGCGGGCATGGCCGCTGGCTGCCGTGGTGCTGCCCATGCCGCTGCCTTCTTGACTGCATGCAGCTGCCTCACCGCTTTGTGCGCTGCTTCTTTAGACCTGCCCTGCCCGCCCCCTCGCCTCCCTCTTGCGCCAGGGATGGCTTCATGCGCATGTGGGACCTTGTTAAGGGGCGCTGCACCTACCACGTGCGGCTGGAGGTGGAGGCGGAGGGCGTGGAGTTCTGCCGGGAGGACGGCGGCGCACGCTACGCGCTGCTGTGCGGCGCGCGGCTGACGGTGCACGGCGTGCAGGGCGACGCGGGTGCGTGGGCAGGGGCGCTGCGCTGGCGGGCCGCCCGGGCTCTGTGTGCCAGGGCGTGGCTTGAGGCGTGGCTGCGTGCCAGGCCGTGGGATGATGGGCTGGAAAGAGACGTCGCTTGAGGCGTGGCAGTTGTGATCCCTTGCGTTTGTGCAGGGGTGCTGTGCACGCTGAGCCACCCGGGCCGCACGCTGTGCATGGCTTGGGCGCCCGGCAACCGCATCGTCAGCGGCTGTGAGGATGGCAGCCTTCGCCTGTGGGACGCCCAGGTTGGCCCCCGCCTGGCTGGGCGCTGCTGCGCGGCTGCTGCGCTGCCGCCGGCGCTGCTGCACGCTGCATGCTGCTGCTCCATGTCGCCGCCGCCGCTATTGCACCATCACAGCTCCGCCAGGTGCCGCCCCAATGAAAGAAACACCATTCACACATCCTACACTTGGACTGACCACAGTGATGACACTCTGGTTTTCTGCAAGTTTGAGGGGACGAGCGCCCTGTGTGGCACCCACACATGCACCTGCACCGGCACCTTGCGCACGATCGCAGCATCTGTGCTTGCCTGCGCCTGCACAAGCACTTGCGCAGGACTCTGCTCTCCACCTGCGCTCTGTGCATGGGAAGCCGGCCGCGCTGCCCTGCTGGTTGCCGCGCCTCCCTTGCGGACGTGCATGCCAACGCGCTGGGCACCTGGCCTGCCCGCCCTGGCTGCAGGCGGGTGTGGAGCTGCTGTGCATCAGCAGGGCCCACGTCAGCCGCGTGCGCACGCTGGCGCTGCTGCCGCCCAGCAGCGCCGGCGGGCGGCTGCTGGCGGCCACGGGCTCCTCAGATGGCAGCCTGAAGCTGTGGGACCTCACCAAAGCGGCGGCGGCGGGCGTGCACGGCAGCAGCGGCGGCTCGTGCCTGGCCGAGGCGCAGACGCGGGCGCGACTGACGTGCATGGCAGCGGCCGACCTGCCGGCCATCATGCAGCAGCGGGTGCAGCAGGCGGCGGCAGCGGCACGGCAGGCCGCGGCAGCGCAGGCCCAGGCGCCAGCGCAGAAGCAGCAGGGGAAGCAGCAGCAGCAGCAGCAGCAGCGGCAGCAGCAGCAAGGGAAACGCAAGGCTACCGACGCAGCTGGTGCTAACGGCAGCCAGCAGCAGCAGCAGGGGGCCGGGCCAGCCAAGAAGAAGCCCGCCCAGCAGCAGGGGAGGCAGGCGGCGGGGCAGCAGGGCGGCGGCAAGGCGAAAGGCGGCGAAGGCGGGAAGGCCAAGCAGGGGGGCAAGGCGGCAGAGGCAGAAAGAGTGGTGGTGAAAGATGGCGTGGTGGAGTTTCTGGGGTCGCCAGCCGAGCAGAAGAAGCAGGCAGCAGCAAAGCGGCACAAGCAGGCGGCGCAGCAGGATCAACGCTTCCGCTCGGTGCCTGTGCCCAATCAGCAGCTGCAGGCAGGGGCGCGGCAGAAACAGCGCCCGCCCAAGCAACGCAAGTGAGACTGCTGCCTGCGGCCGTAGCGCCTGTGAGATCGAGCGACAGCCCCATTTTCTCTCTTCTGCTTTGCTTCGGTGCTCCCAACCCTCCCAACGTACCCAACCCATTCTGTGTATACACCGCTCTCTGCACTGCCCACTATTTCATGTTTACACATGCTTATGCAGCAATTGAAACAGGAATTAGATCGTATGAAAAGATCATGCCAGTGCGAGACAGATAGAGTTGCGGGAGGCATGCAGAAAGGCAAGGGCTGCTCACAAGGGCACCGGGGCCACGATTTGGTCCCAGCCGCCACGATACAGCTGCTGCCGGCTGCTGCCGTCGGGCGACTGCCATGCCAGCGCTCGGATGTAGCAGGGGACCTGGCCCTCGGGCCGCGGCGGCGCCAGCTGGCGAGAGGCCGCCAGGTCAGCGCAGTCGAGCAGCATGATGGCCCCATCGTCGGCACCAGAGGCCAGCAAGCTGCCGCTGCCACCGCCGCTGCCGGCGGCGGCAAGGGCGTGCACCGCGTCTGCGTGCAGCTGCCGCTGCTGCAGGGGCTTGCCCAGGCTGCGGGCATCAAACACGCTGACCCGCCCCAGCAGGTCTCCAACAACAAGCAGCTGCTTGCCTCCCGCTGGCGCCGCTGCAAGTGACAGCGCCTTGGCGCCCACCGCTGCGACCGCCACGGGTGCGCTGCCCAGCTGCCGCGTGTCCCACAGGCACAGGCTGCCGGCATCGCCCACAGATGCCAGGGTGCTCGCGTCCGCCGTCCATGCCACCGCGTGCTGAGCCGCGCCGCCGCTCCCCAGCTGCGCGGTGCTGGTCAGCAGCTGGCCGCAGTCCCACACGCGCAGCGTGCCGTCTGCAGAGGCGCTGGCCAGCTGGCTGGCGCCGGGTGCGGCGGCCAGGCCGGCCACAGCGCCGCTGTGCAGCATCTTGGCCTGGGAGAGCTCTAGAGCTTCACCGCTAACGTACCAGAGCTCCACACAGCCATCGTCACTGCCGATGGCCAGCACGCGGCGGCCTGCATGTGTACAAACAACAGTGAGGGCTGGGGCTATCAGACCACAGCAGGTTCAGTGGCGGCAGCGGCGGCTGCGCACCCGTGAACTCGTCCACCCGGTGCAGGCAAGCCAGCGCCGGCACGCCCGCCCGTAGCTCGACCAGGGTCTGCAGCTGCGCAGGGCCCTCGCCGGCTGCAGACAGCAGCGCGATGCCACCCGTCCAGCAGGGGCCGATGAAGTTGCTGAGGCCCGCCACGAGCTGCCCACTGCTACCGCATGGTGCAAGGCAATCCACGTTGTAGTGCAGCAGGAGTGGGGCTGCCAGGCTCATCGTGGCGGCAGCCCAGCCTTGGCTACGCAGGCGAAGGGGCAATGCAGATGAAGCTACAGAGCCAATTGTCAGTCATACAGATTATTTTACACATTGCTCCAGTGCCTCCACAGCCAACCTGGCGCCGCCTCGTGCATGGCGTGCCGCCGCATGGTGCACCACCAAACGTGTTCCTGGGCCGCAGCCATGTGCCTTCACCCAGGCTGGTTCAAACATCTTGCTGGAAGATGCAATTGGCATTACATTTCACGGTCCATAACATGACGCTGGGCTGGCTGCCAGTGGCGCCGCAAGCTCACAGCTCCTCTCGCGCCGTCCCCTCCAGCTCCCCCTCGTGCCGCTCGTGCCACTGCTGCAGGTACTGGGATGCCAGCGCGGTGTGCAGCGCCGCCCCAACCTTGAGCACACCCTCGTCCAAAGTGAACCGCGGCGTGTGCAGGCCATGGACTGCACACAGGGCAGAGGCACAGCACCAAGGCAATCGCGTCAGCAGTGCCGTGCTGGTGCCCGTCTGTTACATTGGTGGCTTGGTGGTACACACTGCCCCGCAAACTGGGCACAATCGATGCAGCAAGGCGCTCGGCATCCGCCTGCACCCTCCGCCACAGCCACACCAACACCACCACCGCAAACACACCACCCCTGCACCTGCGCCCACGGTCTCGTTGCGGGTGCCCAGGAAGATGAAGCAGGAGGGGACGGCACGTGCGATGAAGCTAAAGTCCTCCCCTCCCATGGTCGCCTCCGTCTCGCCCACCCGCGCCGTGGTGCCAGCGCCAGCGGTCAGCCTGCGCCCACAAGGAACAGAAGCTGAGCCCTAAGGGCGTGCACCGCCGCCAAAAGTTGGGCCTGTAAGACACCGCCGCACCTGCCGGCAACGTCCATGGCAAACTTGAACGCCTCTGGGTCGTTGACTGTGGGTGGGTAGTAGGGCATCGAGTCCTCCATCCAGTCCACCTGCGCGCAGGTGGGCGTGGGGCAGACACGTGATGCACATGCAGGGCAGGGCAGGCAGGCGACAGCAAGGCGCAGGCGAGCTGGCCCTGGCCCATCAAGGCGCCAGAGGATTCGATGACTGGATGCAGTAGGCAGCACGACCCCAGCGCCAGGGCCAGCGCTGCGTCATCCTCGGTGCCAGCCCACCGCACCTCTGCGGTGCAGCCGTGCGCGGCGGCGGTGGAGGCCACCAGCTCCTCCAGGCGGCGCCGCAGCCGCTGCATGCCCTCGTCGCTGTTGGAGCGCACCGTGCCGCCAAAGGTGGCTGCAGGCGCGCGGGTGGAGGCGAGGTCAGGCAGGCAAACATGGAGGCTGCTCGCGCTTGAGCCAAGCCAGCTGGCCAGCCTGCTGCGCCAGCTTTCGGGATGGGTGGTGGCGTGCTGCCGACCCCCTTCTCTGCTCCTTGTACCCTCCAAATGCCCCGCAACTTCTCGCTATCCCCAGCCGCTCGCTCACCAGTGTCGGGGAAGACGTTGAAGGCATGCCCGCCCGCCATGCGTGTGACCGAGATGACGGCAGGATCGAAGGGGCTTGTCTCCCGCGCCACCAGGCTCTGCAGCGCGCCCACCGCCGCCGCCGTCGCCACCACGGGGTCGGCTGTCAGGTAGGGCATGGCGGCGTGCCCTCCCCGGCCCCTGACTGTCACCTCGAACTGGATGGCGCCTGCCAGCAGGGTGCCAGGCCGGGAGGCCACCTCCCCAGAGGGCATGGCGGGCCAGACGTGCATGCCAAAGGCGGCCTTCACTCCATCCAGCGCGCCTGCAGGGGGCGGCAGCAACCCGCTCATGTCCGTTGGCATGCCGTCGCCTGCGACCGGCAGCTACCGCAGCGGCGGCGGCGAGCGCGGCGGCGAGCGCAGCAGGTGGCGCTGGCAGGCAGCGGCAGCCAGGCGGGGGGAGGCGCAAGCAGTCAGGCGGGGGCAGGCGCAAGCAGCGCCGGCCACTCGCCTTCCTTCACCATCAGATCGCCGCCGGCGCCGCCCTCCTCGGCAGGCTGAAACAGCAGGCGCACCGTGCCCTGCGCAAAGCAAGCATGCCAGGCAGGTCAGGGGTGGCAGGGGTGGGCGAGGCGCACGCAGCAGAGCAGGGCAACGCCAGGAAGGCAAGCAAGCACCCGGGCAGGCTGAGCTGCAACTTGTTGAACCACCCACCCACCCACCCACAAACACACACACACCTTGAGCTCCGCCTCAATGCCCTTGAGCAGCCGCGCCGCGCCGAGCAGCATGGTGATGTGGGCGTCGTGGCCGCAGGCGTGCATGCGGCCGCCGTTGCGGGAGGCAAACTCGAGGCCTGTCTCCTCGGTGATGGGCAGGGCATCGATGTCGGCACGCAGCACCACCACCGGCGCCCCGGACCCAATGGTCGCCACCACGCCCGTCTTGGCCACGGGGAACCTGGCAAGAAGTGGCAGGGGAGGTACATGGCAGGGGCTCGAAAGTGGCGGTGCCGTGAAGAGGCTGCGGTTGACACCGATGAGCGGAGGCACACGGCCAGCCAGACGCTGGCACCAGCGTGCACCCCCGCCTGGCTCACTGGTACGGGATGTTCAGCTGGTCCAGGTGGCGGCGGATGGTGGCGCTCGTGTTGTGCTCCTCAAACAGCAGCTCCGGGAAGCTGTGCAGCTCCCTGCGGGTGCCCACCAGCCAGTCCTGGATCCCGGCGGCCCGGTCCAGGAAGTGGGAGAGCGATCCTGCGGCGGGGGTGCAGGCCGCGGCGGGGGTGAGCCGCAGGTGCCAAGGCCCGGCGGCGCGCCTTGGCCCGTCAGCATCCTCTTGCTGCCGGTGAAGGGTTGCGCCTACCTGTGGCATGCGCACTGGCCGCGACATGGGCGGCCGCACACAGCGCAGCGAGGAGAAGGGCTGAGCAGCGTCGCATTTCGACAATATGCATGTGAATATCAATCAATGCTACAAGAAGAAGACGGCGCGCGTGGGTGACTCTGGGCGAGATGCGCCGTCAGCTGTAGGCCTGGGTGTAACCATACGGGTTAGTATGCTACGTTAGCATACTAATCAGTTACTATGGCATAGACGAATTTTGAGGGTAGTTACTACGCTTTGGGAGAGGGTTCATACGGCATAGTAACCGCGGGCGGGGACGGTATAATAACGGCGGCGTGGGGACAGCGCACATGCCAATCGGGTTCACTCTAAGCCTGGAGGGAGCAGAAAAATCCTCACACATACTCCAGAGCTCCCAGGGTGCAATTGTCAATGGGAAACGCATCTAGCACCATCACCTGGAACATGCTGCCTGCATTTCATGCCGCCAGCGCCGCTCTAACGCGTCGCTCTAACACATACATATGGCATAGTACGGGTTAGCGGGGTTTTGGGTGGGTTACTGTTTTGTCTAACGGTGAAATAACCAAGTATGCTAACCATGGTTATTTAACCCATACTGCGGCATAGAGAAAATGAGGGGGCAGGGTTACACCCAGGCCTAGTCAGCTGGCAGGGCGCCGCAGCGCGGGACCTCTTTCCCATCCAGGCATCGTCCATCCTGGGCCATTGGCAGCTGTTATAGCACCCGGGAAGCAGTAGCTTCCAGGGTTGCATGGCCCAGAGCTAGAGTTCCCACCCTCACGGGAGCGGCTACCCGGGCGCAGCCATCACCAGTGGGCAATGGCGAAGTTCAGGATCCGACAAGCAGCTCATTCTTAGCCAAAACTTTGATTGCGTACCCTTCACGGTAAGAGCAGCGCAGCCCTTCACATGCGGGCAGTCTTCATAGCCTGTGCTGTCCCTAGCTGCGCCGCCACAGGGCCCAAAGTGATCTTATTTGTTCCTCTAGCTCAATTATCGAGCTTTCAAGAGCTCCACTCTTCCTTCCTGCATTGCCTGTCCACGTGTGTTTGAATTGGAAGGCAGCCTTCCTGGGCTGCCCACCTCCCTCCCGCCCCATTCTGCGCCTGCGCACCCGACCCATCACTGCCGATCGCTTCCCAGGACTATTGGGACCATGCCGCTGACCGACTATGAGCAGGCTCGTGCCCAGCGCATCGCCGCCAACCAGGCAAAGATGGCGGTGCGTGCTCGCTGCGCCTGGAGGCTGCTGTCGTATGATTTTGCCATCGGCGATCGTCGCAGGCAACAGCAGGCGACTGTAGCGCCCGCCGGCCCTGCAATGGGGCCTCCGCTTTCAAACTCGCCGTTGCTCCTGCACCTCCACCGGCACTGCTGGCGGTTCCCAGCTGCCGGGAAGGGTGGCCTGCACTTGTTGCAACTCCATCGCATCGCTCTTGCAGCGGCGGCGCGCCGGCCCCCTGGCGGCCTGCCGCCCAGCTGTTGGTGCAGGCAGCTGCACACTGCCACGGCTGCCGCGGCCCCGTAAAGCTGTCGGATCCAGGGCTCGCACCACATCCGCAACCACTGGGTGCTGGGCGGCCCACCAGCACCGGCCGTTGGCCCTTGTAGCCGTTGGCCCACCGCCGCCCCACCAGCCGACCTGCCCCTGCCCCTGGCCGCTCCGCCCTGCAGTTCCTGGGCATCGCCGAGGCAGCGACGCAGCTGCAGCACGTGGCGGACGGGGCGCACCCGCCCAAGCCCAAGCCGGCGCCCCGGAAGCGCAAGATGTATGAAATCGAGGTCTGGCCCTCCCGCTGTTCCATACCTGCTGCTGCGCCCCATCTGCTGCTGCCCAGGCCCTGTGCTGCCGTGCGGCCGGGTGTCAGCCCGGGACGGCAGACAGCAGGGGCTGGCATGAGGCCCGGCACCAAGAACGCCGTGCCCACGCCTTGCCCGCCCGCCACGCCTCCCAACCGCCGCCCAACCGCTGCCCAGCCACCCGCCTGTCCTTCGCTCTCCCCTCACCCTCGCGCCTGCGCTGCGTGCCTGCCTGCCTGATGCAGGTGGAGGTGCGGCGCAGCGGGCGGCTGCAGGGTGACCAGCCTGAGTACAATGAGGAGAACCTGTTTGCCCGAGAGCTGGGCATTGACAGGTGGGTGGTGCCTGGTGGTGTGTGCGGGGGTGCCTGGTGGATGTGTGGGCCTGCGGTGTTGGGGAGCTGGGCATCGAGGGGGTGGAGCTTTTTGCAGTTGTGTTGGGGGCAGGTTGGTGGAGGTGGCGTGTGTCCGTGGTGGTGCGGTGGCCGTGCCCAAGTCTTTGCGTGGGCATGGCGGGCACCCTGGCCGCCAGGCAGCTCCATCCATGCGCCAGCGCTCGCCCCGCACGCAGGCTGGACCTGATTGCGCGGCCGCGGCGGCGCCGCGTGGGCGTCGACCCCTCGCAGCTGGCCGTCATCAGGGAGCGGCGCGTCAAGTGAGCGGGAGCTGGCGGGCGCGGGCCAGCCAGCCAGCACACCCAACTGGCATGCCGTGCTCGATGCGCCCGCAGCCCAGCCCCAGCCCCAGCACTGCTGGCCTGGCTTTGATGCGTCCTGCCCGAGAGGTGCCCTGCCCTATGTTGCCCTGCCCCACCCGTGTTGCCCTGGCCGGCTGCCCCACCCCTGGCGTGGTGCAGGGAGGTGGATGGCGAGGATGCGGAGGTGCCCCGCAGGCCCTTTGACTCTGGCCTGGGGGTGCGCATCCAGGTGAGCGACTGCTGGGTGGTGGGCCTGTCGGTCAGCGGGTGGCCGACCAGCTTCGGGTGCTTGTTGCGTGGCCGTCCCTGCCTCTCTTCCCTCAGCAGCAGACGGAAGCAACGGAAGCAGCACCGCACTCCTCTGTCCCACCGCTGGGCTCCTCTCCCCTCCTCGTGCCATCCTGCCTGCTCATCCAGCCCTCCCCGCCCTGTCCTTGCTCATCCCCTTTGCCCTCTGCCCGCTCCCGCAGGGCGGCCGCGTGTATGACAGCAAGTACGGGGTGACCTGCCACTGGTGCCGCCAGAAGACGCTTGAGGAGCATGTGACGTGCAGCCACCCCGACTGCGGCGACGGCCGCCGCCTGGCCGTCTCCTTCTGGTGAGGGCCCTGGCTGCGGCGGCGTGTGGCGTTCTTGTGTGCAAAGGAGTGCTAGGGGTGGGGAGGCACAGAGGCGTCGTTCAGCGACTGGGCATGCCCTTGCTTGTGCCGGGTAGCACCCTGCGCTCAGCCTGCCCCCGCCCGCCCCTCCCTCCCCTGCGCAGCAAGCTGTGCCTCAGGAACCGGCAGGGCGAGGACATCGCGCAGGCGGAGGCCAGCGGCAAGTGGGTGTGCCCGCGCTGCCGCGGCTCCTGCGGCGACGGCTGCGCCTCGTGCTGCAACTGCGGGCCGTGCCGCAAGGCGCTGGGCCTGGCGCCCACCCACCAGATCATCAACCAGGCCCGGGGCGCCGGCTTTGACAACGTGCACGATTTCCTGGTGAGGCGCCGAGGCTGGGCTGGCTTGGCTGTCGCTGGTTGCTGGTGCCTGGCGGGGCTGGTGGCAAGAGGCAGCGATGCGTGCGTCTGTCGTGCGGTGGGCGGCTGGGCGCGTGCTTGGGGCGGTGTAGGTGTGGCTGCGAGGCGGTAGCATGTGACCCAGGGGTCTCTTGTGGCCTGCGGCTGTTGGTGCTCAAGCCCTTACCCCTGCCTGGCTTCCTCCCTCCTTGCCCGGCCCCCGCTTGCCCAGGTGCACCAGCGCACCGGGGAGGGCCCTGAGGAGATTGCAGCTCGCAAGCGGCAGGCGGCGTGGGGCGCATGGCTGGATGTGCCGTTTGACCCAGTTGCTGCCGCCGCCGCCGCCGCCGGCTCGGATGCCGAGGGAGAGGAGGCGGCGGCAGAGCCGGCGGCGGCCGCGGCGGCTGTGCAGCTGGAGCAGCGGCGGCAGGGCGCGGCGGTGCCAGCTGGTGCAGGCGCCGCGGTGCTGGTGTACCGCGCGCTGAGGTGGCACCTGCTGTCCGCCGCCTTCTGCGCAGCTGCCAAGGTGTGTGCACGTGCCGCGGTGCTGGTGTGGTGTCTGTGGTGGTAGCCTGCACCCGTGCATGCAAGCATGGCTAGAGCCCACTCGGGACTAGCCTTCCGCTCATCACCCAAACCGTCTGCGACCCGCCTGCCCCTCCCCCGACACACTGCAGGCGCTGGCGCCCAAGCGCAGGGCAGGCCGCCCCGCCAAGGCCGCCGCTGCACCCAAGAAGCGCGCCGCTGCTGTGGCTGCTGCAGCTGCGCCCGCCCAGCGGGGCGCCAACGCAGCCAAGGGCAAGGCCGCCGCGGCAAAGCCCAAGCCAGCGGCGGCGCGCCGCCGCTCGGCCCGCAGCCTGGATGGCAAGGAGGTGGCAGCCAAGCTGGCCACCAAGGTGACTGCTTTCTTCCAGGCACCTGCCCACACCTCTGGCAAGAAGCAGGCCGCGGCGGCGGAGCGCAAGGTTGCCGCCAGCAAGGCGGCCGCCGCCGACTGCCGGCCCCGCGCCGGCAACCGCCTGGGCATGCGCGCGCGCAAGTGAGCCCTGGGGATCACCAGCAGCAGGTCCACACAAAGGGGATCCAGTTCCGCAGATCACACTTCCCCGCGCCCAGGCACTTCCCTGCCCTGGGCACCGCCGCCTGTTTTGACCCAAGTTCCAGGTGCTGCACCGTACCATTGACCGACTGTTCACAACTGACCTCCTGATTGCATCATCCACCACTGCTGTTGACCGACCTCCGTAGCTGCCACAAATGTCCTTTACCAGTGCGCACTTCTCCCTCCTCGCACTGGCCGTGGCCCCGCCATTTTTCCTGTCCATCCGGCACAGCCTGGCACACCCGCTCCCTTTGCCCCGTGCTGCCCTGCTTGCCCAGACTCTAGCACAGCTAGCTGCTGGTCTCCCTGCCCTTGCTCCTGGGCTTTTGCACCTGCTACTGACTGCCAGCACCACAACCATGCCAATACTTCCAACCATCCGCCCGCTGGAGCTGTGAATAAACATGCTGCACACCTCTTGGCACCCCCCTCTTCCAGGCAGGCACAGGGCAGGTTGTGGGTCTAAACCATGCCTGCTCGTCGATGCATGGACAGCTGCCTCCACACCGCTTGCAGGTCGTCCGGTCTTGCACACTGCTCTTGCAGGGAGCAGACGCCGGCGTCATTTGAACACCAGGGGCAGGGTGATCTCCGTGCCGCCGCCGTCGGCGCTGGGCTGGAAGCGCGCCGCGCAGCAGTGCTCGGCGATCGCCGCCTGCTGCGCCTCCACCACGGCCCAGGGCGGCGTGTGGCCCTCTGGGTCCGCCCGCAGCGTGTTGACCAGCCACCGCACGCCGCCGACCTGCCCAGTCTCGCCGCACACCGACAGGCGCAGCACCACGGTGCCGCTTGCGGGCGCCGGTTCGCCCAGCGCCGCGTGCAGCCGCTCCAGGCAGGCCTCCAGGCCGGGGGCCGCCTCCGCTTCGCTCAGCGACCCTACACGCCACGACGCGCAAGGGCCGCGTCAGCCGCAGCCGGCTTGCCGCCTGGAGCGCCGGGCCCTGCCACCATTGGTGCACCACCAACAGCCTGACCCATGCCCATCACACGCGCCACGGCGCACCCACACGCTGGCACACACCCGTCAGGAAGAGGGATGGCTCGTTGTACCAGCCAATCAGCACCACACGCGCATCCAGCGGGTCGTCGGTCCCCTCCACCTGCGCCAGGCCCGCGAGCAGCGGCAGCGGCTCCAGAGGTGGGCAGGTAGCGCACCGTGCACGCCGCCAGAGGCATGTGGGCACAGGCAGCCCTCGGCAAGGACCCAGATCGGCTCCTGTATGGCGGTGCGGTGCCATGGGGACGCGTTTTTGCCGCCGCCCCACTCCCTCCCCATGCCCAAGCCCTCGGCGCACCTGCCGCACAGCATAGGAGATGCGTCCATCCCACAGCGCCATGCGGTTGAACACCGGCTCGATGAGGGTGGACTGGCAGGGGGAGCCAGGGCAGAGGCGGGATGAGATGGGGCCCCATTGGAAGGGCCTCGGCTGATGCAGCCAGCACGCCCTGCCAAAGCGGCTGCTCCCCCCAGCCACTGAAAACATCCTTTACCCTGCCCCCTTTTTATCCACCCCCAGCTTCTGGCTCGCCTCATCCGTTTCCCACATGTTGTATTGCAGCATGACCAGCTCGCCGCCCCTGAAGCCCCGCCCCTCCCACCGCGTCAGCGACAGCACAAAGGCAAAGGGGCCCTGCGGCGCGGCGCAGTGCCAGCCGTGCGTGCAGCCGTTGACGTAGTAGCTGCGGGGCAGGGGGCAGGGGGTGGCTCGTGGTGGTGGGTGGGTGGTGGGTGGGTGGGGAGGGCATGAGGGGAGGGAGGGGAGCAGGCAATTGCAATCTCGGGTGCAGCACCAGATGCGCTCGGCAGGTGCATGATACGTGTTCAGCAGCGCCAGACCTGAGCGTGATGGGTGACACGCTGCAGCAGCCCAGCTCCCGCGCCCCGTAGCGCGCGAGCGCCTCCTCCAGCCTGGCGTGGAGCTGGGGCGGGAAGAAAGCGTGCGCGGGGGTGCGGAACAGCCGGAAGTCGGGGGGCGCGTCGAAGGATCCCCAGGCGGCCCGCTTCTCCGGCGGCCGCAGCTGGTCCAGCACCATCCTGCAGAAGCAGGGACACGCTGGGGTGGCGTGCCAGGGCAGCACACGCGGCATCGCCCGCACGGTGTGGCCTGCAAGGTAGCACAGCAGGCCCCTGCTCTCCTCACTTTTCATCATAGTACTCCCGCAGCTGATGCGCCAGCTCGGCATCCAGAAAGTCGTCTAGCAGGATGATGTGCTGCGGCTCGGGCAGCTGCAGGGCGTCGCCGGCAGTGCACGAGGTGGCCGCCGCTGGCGCCGCCACCGCGGGCTCGAGGAACACATCGGGCACTCCCTCCTGCGCTTGCGCCAGCACGCCCTGTCTTCTTTGCCGCTTGTAGGGGTGCGTGCAGGCCGCCCAGTGGCGCTGTGCCATGGCGGCGCCGTGAATCGCGTGGCTGCAAGCCTGCTGCAACCCGCCTGATAGGATCAGCATGGTTGCTGCTGTTGGTTTTTGATGGGTTCCGAAAGCTGCAGCGGGCACATTTGGCACTGCTGCATGCATAGCACAGCGGGCCGCCACCGCTGGTGCTTCTGAGGTTAGCTGGACTGCATTTTGGCTCATCAAAAACAACAAGTGGGCATCCCGAAAATCAAACAGGCTGCAGGTTGAGGATAAGCCGGCAGCCTGGATGAGATGGTCCACGGTGCCCCCTCCCCACCGGTTGCCGCCAATGCTCACTGGCAGCGTTTGCACACACGGCTCCCAGGCAGGAGGCACCAAAGCGAGGTAACGTCATAAAGATGGGTAAGCAAAAGTATCCAAAAGAATGGGCGACACGAAAAGCAACAAATCAGTGCGTGAGAGCAGAGTAGGCAAGAGAAAGTAGGGAGCAACAGTGGAAAACAGTCCGAAGCGATATCAGCATGCTGTGCAATGCCTGTATGCGCCCAAGTATCATGTTGTTGTTGCGGTACATGCCCAGCAGCGTCATGTGCTTTGCCGCGAAGGGGGCGCCCCGCCCAGCCACGTCGCCCACACGCCCTGCGTGTGCAGCCGCTGGCCGTACTCGAAGCCGCTCCGCACCAGCTGCTGCAGCCCCTCTGCGGTGCGCAGCCGCACCGCCCCAAACCGCAGCCTGCGGGTGCATGCCGTGCACAAGAGAAACAGCAGTGCTTCGGCAGCCGCAGTGCCAACCACCACCATGCGCTGCTGTGAGAGGCCAGTGGCAGTACTGCAAACCCAGGCAGCATTCATGCCACACCTGAGGGGCCCCAGCGCCTCATCAAAGGTGTAATCCAGCATGAAGGAGGCCGCAGCATGCTGTGCTGCGCCCGCCTGCTGCCGCGCTGACGGAGGCCGCGCATCCCGCGCCTCCAGCGCCTGCGGCGCGGCGCTCGGCACGGGGTCCCCACCGATGGTGCCCACGCCAAGACTCAGCAGGCGGCGCAGGCCGCCCGGCTGCCGCATCATCCACGCCCAGCGGCAGAAGGCGCCATCCATGGCCTTCACGCCTGCAGGCAGGTGGCTCACGCACAGGATCGGTGGTGCTGAAACAGCAGCCGTGTTATCTGCCTCTCGCTCGCCTGCTGGGCCACGAGCAGCCTCCCAGCCAGCCAGGCGCCAGCGTGGCGAGCGGGCGCGACGCCTCGCCTCACCCCTGACCCTCGCGGCCAGGCGGCCGTCCAGCAGGAAGGGGAGGTGGCTAGAGGCCATGCACGCATCAATGAGGTCGGCCTTGGAGTGGAAGCGCTCCAGGAAGAGCGGGCTGAGCGACGGCCAGGCGGTGATGCGCAGCCGCACACGGCCGGTGCACCTGTGGCGGCAGCGGCAGTGGGGCGGCGGCTGCGTCAGCCCAGGCATCTGCAGGGAGCGCAGTGTGCTGTGCTAGAAGGAGGGACCAGCGCTGGCGTATCGACACCCCTTGATGACCTTCATGCATCAAGCTGACAGCCAGCGCGGGTGCACGCCCCCCGGTGTCCCCACCGCGTGTGGGCATCCTCTGGAAGCAGCTCCTCCAGGCAGCGCCGCGCAATGGAGCCCCACACCCCAAGCAGGCCAAACAGCCTGCACCACACCGAGCATGAGACAGTTGAGGCTGCTTTCCGGCAAGTGCATGTGCAGCGGCGGCTGCCGCCTCCCGCAGCAATGCATGCGTGTGTCCTATCAAGAAGGCACTGATCCCCCAACTGTCACCTGTCGTGCACCCCGTGCTCTGTGAACACCTCGCCGGCCCGCTCCGCCGCTCGCTCCAGGTCCACGCCGCTGGCCGCCAGGACCGCCACCATAGCGCCGCTGCTGGAGCCGTGCAGGCGCACGGCGGCCAGGTCATGGTGCTGCTGCAGGTACTTCAGCACCCCGGCCTTCCAGTAGAACCACATGCCGCCCCCCGCAATGTGCAGCACGGGCTGGTGGGCTGTAGGGCCCGGCAGCACCCTCTGCGCCGCTGCCGCCGCCGCCGCTGCTTTGTACAGTTCAGCGGGAAGGGTGCTCCGAGCATCGTCGCGCAATCTGGGGGCTGAGGAGTTTATGTAACAGTTCGCAGCAGCGGCAGGGCAGGGGTGGCCACTGACTAGAGCGTTGCGCTGAAAAGCAGCAGCTGCCCGTAGCCCCGTGCTGCTCAGCATCGCTGCCGCAAGCTCCAAGCGAGCTCGGCTCTGCGTCCGAATGCCGCTTGTTCAGTTGAACTCAATGCATTATGCGGTATCTTGCGCCAGAAGTCGTGTGCTGCATGCTGCGTGCCCAGGGGCGCTGGCGCCCCCCCGCGTTACACTGCCTTTGGCGAAGGAACCCAACAGCGAATAAAGGCAGGCTTCTGCCGCAAGTACTGATTACATTTTGGAGGTCGGCCGTGCGCTACCGCTTCTGCTGCTGCTGTTGCTGCTGCTGTTGTTGCTGCTGCTGCTGTTGTTGTAGCTGCTGCTGCTGTGTCGGCTGTCGCGGCGGCCCCGGTGCCAGCGCCTGCGGCAGCGGCAGCGCCTTCAGCCCCAGCAGGTTCAGGTGCTGCTGCGCCGCCGCCGCACTGATGGGCGTGGCGTGGTGCTCGTAGAAGGACAGCATGTCTGCCGCCACCTCGTGCACCTGCAGCTGGCAGGCGGAGGAAGCTTCTCAAGAGCCCGGCTCGTTTCAAAAGAGGCCCATGCAGCAGCCTGGCTTCGCGATCCCCTACCAGTTCCATGCATGCACACCCCGTGCCCCCCCGCTCCACCACCTTTGCAAAGTCGGCGTTCAGGCCCTGCAGCCAGGCCCGCAGGTCGAGCTGGGCGATGACGGCGGCCAGGCACAGCGCACCCAGTGCCACAATGTGGGGCGGGTGCAGCAAGTGCAGCGGCGTGCGGTAGCTGTCACTCAGAATGGACCTGCGACGGCGGGGCAGGGCGGGAGGGGCAGCGATGGACAATATGGAAAGAGGCCAAGGGATGAAGAGTGCTGGGCAGGGGCGGGCGGGCGTCCTAGATGAACACAGCATCCACGACAAGTGCCAGCGGGCAGCCGGAGGCTGGCAGGCGGCCGGCAGGGCGCCCCAGGGGGGCAGCGGCAGCGGCGCCGCACCAGGCCGCCTCGCAGGTGTGCTGGCTGCCGGTGAGGCCCGAGTCCTGCAGGAACTTAGAGAGGGAGGGGTAGGGGCTGAACACCAGCAGGTCGCCATCCAGCTGCTCCTGCAGGGCGGCGCGGGCCGGGAGCGGCAGCACAGGGCGGGGCGGGTGAGGCTGAGATAGCAGGCAGGCAGATGGTGTGTGCATCCAAACCACCGTGTGCATCCCACCACCAGCCAGCTCAGGTCCTCGAGCGGCTCCAAGCGCAGCAAACGTC